GGGACGGCCCCTAGAGGTGCAGAGGACAACTGTCCTGGGGACGGCCCCTAGAGCTGCAGGAGGACAACTGTCCTAGGGATAGCCCCTGCCCTGAGAGGGACTTGCCAAGCGATGGGGGCGCATCGGGGGGGGGGCATTCAGAGAAGGCTTTGTGGCTGGGAAGGTGGACGGGAATTCATCCAGCAGGAATGAGAGGAGAGAGTGAGAAGAGACCAAAATGAGGGCAGAGGATCAGGACATCTGTTGAGGGAACAGTGTGTCCTCCATGTGGCCTGGCGTGTGTAAGGGTTACACGAGGAGAAGCGGAATATGACACTGCGAGGTCGGCGGGGCAGATGGCTTGGTGCGAGCCTGCGGGCTCCCTGGTGTGCTGTGGATGGGCTCTGGAAGAGTCCTGGGCAGGTGTGGCATGACTGGATTTGGGCCACTTGCAAACAATGGCAAACACTCATTGAGCCTTAAAGGTGTGCCACATGTTCTAGGTGTTCCGCCTATTTATTTTGTTTTCAAAATAATGCTCCAAGACAGGCGCAGTTGCCATCCTGTTGTACAGTGATTAAAAGAAAGGATGGAAGGTTAGGTAATTTGCCCAAGGTTACAGAAATAAGAAGTAATGAGCTGGAATATGAAACTAAGCCATCTGGTTCCAGAGAGATGGAATATATCGTATGTCCTCATTCCAAAAATTAACATCGTAGCATCATTTAAGACAGATTAGAGAGAAGGCAAGAACCTGTATAGAAAGTTCTGGAATGTCTAGGGGGCAGGATCATGTGCCTGGATTAGGAGGATGGCCGTGATGGTGGAAAGATAGGCGCTGAATCCATGGGACATAGCTGTAGAGCAGGTGGGGGGAGGTGGTGGGTGCTGAGGAAAAGGAGGCAACGAGGACTTTAGCATAACATGGGTGGTGAGCTTGCGGGCCTGAGGAACAGAAACAAGGAAGTAGGGCAGAAGAGTTGGTTTTGGTGGGAAGATCAGACATTCCATCTTGGCCAGACTGCGTTAGAGGAAGTCTGACATTGTGGCAACAGTTACAGTCCACGCAGGAGGATGACAAGTTCCAGCCAGTCCTGGCTACCTGACTGATTTAGCAAATTAGAAAATGAAAGTGGTCTGAGACCATAGCTCAGTGCAGAAGCCAGTCACAGGGAGAGTAGTAGAGGGCCACTCAGATCACTGCTGAATGTCACAAAGATTTGAGAGTTTCCCAAGGACATGGTACAGCTGTAGGAATGGTACAGTGGGGAGGACGGGAAGATGAGTCAGTCTGCACCTTACAGGTGGGGTGCGTTGAGAGAAGCAAGCAGAGGCGAAGAAATAAGTGGCCAACAAGCAGGTCACCGAAGAGACACCGAAGGGGAGAGGGAGTGAGGGTCAGGAGTGAGCTCACTCTGGCTGCTCTGGGCTGTGTGGGCTGAGACTGCGCAGTCCTAGGAGGCCGTGTGGCCTCCTGGGTGCTGCCTGCAGAGGGTGGGCTGTGGGGGAGAGCCCGTGAGGGCCACATCGCAGCGGTCACATGGCGACATGCTGCCCCTGAGGAAGGGTGGATTATACCCCCTCATGTAGAGCCTGTTCCTACAAACGTGTGATTTACTGGAGGTGTCAGTGAGTTGCAGCCTTTCTAGCTAAATTCCGCCTAGCACCTGGTAAGTGGACTCTGAATGTCAGGTTACACATCTGTGGACACAGCAGCATTTTGTACAGATGTCTGTTCAGTTAGGAAAGGGTGGTAGAACTCCGGGGGTGAGAGGACAGCCTTCTGGGAAGCCAGTGAAGAGCAGGGGTCCTGTTGTAGGTGAAGGCGTTAGAAGGAAAGTGCGAATTTACTGCTTTTTAGAACAGAATTTACCTCAGTCACTGTAGCCTTGCAGAGTTTCAGTAGAATGCAGATGATAACATCCCGTCTTGTACTGAGGTCAGACTTTCTCAGATCAGATTTATGAGAGTGTAGACCCAAGTGGCACCTGTGTGGCAGGCAGCCTGTGCTCAGCAGGCTGTTTGCTATCGCTGAAAACTCTAGAAGGTACGTCATCACAGGTACAGGCCAACGGGCTGTGGTACAAATGTAGCTCCACGAACAGGGAGCCTTTCAAGGACAATTTGTTGGTATTTGATGAGACTAGAGAAGACGCACAGCTCTCCAGAGAGGCCACTTCTTCAGTCCTGGAATTGGGCCCGGGAGCCCAAATCCAGCTTCCTGTTGATACCTTAGCTCATGACTTTTGGCTCAGGAGTTAGTGACCTCAGGTGTGTTGATTGTATGGCGTTTGTGTTCCTCCTAGTGGGCCTCAGTGTCGGCTTGGTGTTGATGGCATGGGAAGCAGGTTACCTGGGAAGCGCAGGGCTAGGCAGCGATGAGGCCCCCTTAGCGGTCAGTGTAACAAACAGCCCCTGGGCCAGCCGCGGGCCGCAGGTTTACCAGCACTGACACAAGGCTTCCTCTTCAGTCTTATTCTTTTCATTCTTCCTTTCCTGGAACTTGCAAAGGGAAGGCATTGAAAAAGCAGCAAGAGCTCTTCATGATGATGCGCTGGGAACTAGATTTTAAGCAGCTAGATCATTTACTTGTTCAGGGTCTCGCAACGTGGCTCATACTCGGAGCGGTCCTCTGTCAGCCTCCCCAGCCCAGGGATTCCAGGTGTGTGCCACCATGCCTGGTTTCAGGGCTGCACGGCATGTGGTACCAGGGATTGAACTCTGGTCCTTGCCCTTCCCAGGCAGGCGTGTAGACTGCTGAGCTATCTTCCCAGCCCCTTTAAGTATTTTCTGAAGGAATTTTGCCAAGTGTTTTAGCATGGTAAAAATGAGCGGCCTCTATTGAGGACTAGTTAGCTAACTGGAAGATTTAAATAATCTGTTTTTTAATTTACGCTGTGTGAAAACACCCTCATTACTGCAGCAGGAAAATTTTAGAAAAATGACTTCGTGTTTGTCATGTAGATTTGAGTCAAAATGTGAATGTGAGACGTCTCTGAGGTACAGAAAAACTCTTCTTACCTAGAAATACTTCAGGGAATGAGTATTTAGGTTAGACAGAAGTCAGAAGAAACACTTAGCCTTCAGTTTTCATTTCGAGTTTAGTTATGCAGCAGGTCATATAGCCTGCTGGGCAGTTGTGTGCCACACGGGCAGCAGCGTATGCCACACACGATCCTGCGGAGCCTTCGGGTCATCATGCGCTGCCCTGGCTCTCGTATGAAGTGGCGTGACAGAGACGGAAGAGATTTGGT